CCACCGACCAAGTACTAGTCAGTAATGCTAGACTTGGATAACAATAATCGGTTTATCGCCCAGCAACGGCTCAAGTAGGTTTTTACCGTAGTCTTAAATTTTTGTGGGTAACTAATTCGTCATTAAATCAAAACTAGAGTGAAGGCTTTTACACCAGTGTTTAGACCCCTTACAGTGGTTTTAAGTATTTTGGCGTTTACATTCCCGAAACAGAGTTGCAACAATGAAGTTTTTATAAAAATAATTATTTACCTTTATGTACTTCCCCCTTTATGAATGGCTAATTATGTCAGTCAACATACGGATAAGTTCGGACATCTTCATTGCATTTTTTGTCCTTAGCACAGAAGACAAATTCTTTTGTGACATTTTTTTTAGACATTAGATCCGTCATTTACGACATAATGGGTGGTCATTAAATGAAACTAAACTATTATGTCACACTACGACATGTATACGGACGTAACACCCCTTATAATAGGAATCCGCCTTTACATATGCGTTAATTTTTGCTATGACATTATAGTCTCGTTATGACATTACAATGAACTTGTTACATGTCATTTGTAATGTCATAACGTCGTGATATCTCACCGCTTCAGTGCGGGGTGAATGAAGCGTAGACCCTGGAATAAGCTTTTTTATTATGTTAACTTCAGTTACCTCTCTCTTGAATGTAGAAAAGGGCAAAATTAACACGGGTACTTAATTTGAACAACAGTTAGAATTTTTTAGTAAAAGCTCAGTTTTTTTAAGTTTCTAACAGATTTTTGACACGTTATATTCTGATACTTTTTATGCGTTGATCTTTCTGATGTTTAGGGTCTCAGCGCATTCACCGGACAGTATTGACTACATAAGGGAGTCATCGATTTTTATGTAATGAATGATTTTTTCTTCGGACACACGAAACATGCGTTCCAACAATAGTATCGGTCATTATCATGGAGAACGATCAAGAGTTTGATTTTGTTTTGTGCTTCTCACATCGCGAACCAATCGATCGACTAATAATTTGCAATGTGTAATGTGAGCAACAAATGAGTCCGGCTTTCGGCACATTTCCGGCCAGGCGTACGACCGAGAATGCTGGCTCGATTAGCGGCGAAAAAGCTTTACATCCGTCCGAGAGGTTGTACGGGGTCTGAACATTCACTAAAAGTCGGAGAAACATTATGAAAGCCGGAGTTAAGATTTTCCTTTTCTCCAACTTTACATGCGTTTGCACGGTCGCCCGGTAGAAAACCCACAAACCAAGCCACTCGACACACGTTCTGGTCTCAACATCAAGTAACACTTCTGCGTGAAGTGTCCGTTTTCTTTAACATTGAAGGTGTCCAAATCGCTGTGAAAAACTGGACGTTTTAATGAAATTTAACTGTTTGTAGTATACACATTAACGCAGCAGTGTTTAAGTTTGCCTTAGCTTTCTATTAGAAAGAGCAGGGTAACTCGAAGTTATTTTAATAAAAAGCTAATTCCACCGGTACCTTCAAGGTGGCCTTCCCCTCCTGAAGTCGTGAGATACGTTGTATCCCGACGACGTAATTCCCCTTTAATAGGAACCGCCCTTACATATGTGTGGAAATTTTGGTTATGACATTAAAGTCGTTATGACATTATTCAATAACATCTTTTTTTTTTTTTTTTTTTTTTTTTTGTACATCGTCATTTTATGTGCATACATGACGACGTAACACCGTTTATAATAGGAATCCGCCCTTTACATATGTCGTAATTTTTTGCTATCGACATTTATCACGACATTTACAATGTCATATTAAAAACAACAATGACATGTTATAAGAGCCCACTCTTTATAGTCGCTCGTTCTTCTCTCTTGGCGACACTTGAAAATTGCCTAATCGAATCAATTTTCGCAATTATTAACGACACAAAAAAAGGGGATGTTTTTCAAGCATAAAAATAAAGCTCTGTAACTCATCGTCCTAATATACCGATTTGTCGAAGTTCGTGAGTCCGCCTGCGTTTTCCTCCTTCTCTCTAAGTCTTACAGCGAGTGAGCTTAAGCTCCTCCTTAGGAGGTTTGCGTTCTAGAGACGACCAGTACTACCGTCGTAAAGTTCCTTGTTTCTCTTCGGAAAAAGGAAAACCGATACATTGACCTCACTTTGTAATACTAGTACGACGTTACTTTACATTATTAACTCCGAAAATTTATAATGTAACATGTAATTAAACTTCGTATAACACACACACACACACATACTGACCGTTGCGTTCCTACTTTAACTTCCCGAGGTGACTCGGATTCTGTGCCCGTTCGTGTGGTTCCGGAGTTGTACAATCCATTCCTAACTGTCGAAATGGAAAACTGTACATTTCGACTTGTACATAAACTTAAGGTGTACGAAACATACATACGAAGTATATTTTACTACTAGAAGATACATACTAGGAGATATCATAAACTAAAAAGTCAAACTTTCATTCTATTTATTTATTTTTATAAAAGTTACTATACGACGCGAAAGGGTAAAACTAGGGTGAAGAGGAAACGTCCCTTGGTAAAATGAAAGTGTATTTAATGTCTTTCTAATGACAACACTAAACTACAACACCTGGAGTGATGACACTAAAACATTAAATTAACCAGCAACCATAAACTTAGACAGTACTTGCCAGGTTANACTAAGAAATGGTCGGATAAAGCAGGATTATGCGGTTCGACTAATAGTTGCTCAATTTCAATACCATAAGTCAGAACAAGGTCGAGAGTGTGATTATAGCAGTGGGTTGGTTTATTTACACTCTGACAGAAACCAACAGAATCTAATATAGAGTTAAATGCAACAGTAAGGCTATTTTTATCATCGTCAACATGAATATTAAAGTCACCTACGATAATTACTTTATCTGTTTTAAGTACCAAAGTTGATAGAAACTCATAAGAATTCTGAATAAGGACCTGGTGCACGGTACACTGTAACAAATAAGATTGGCTGCAAAGTTTTCCAGGTCGGATGCGTAAGACTAAAAACGAGGCTTTCAAAGGAGGTATAATTTAGTTTTTGTTTAGTATTGATAAGTAAACTTGAGTCAAAGATTGCTGCAACTCCACCTCCTCGGCCCGTGCCTCGGGCAATATGAGTATTGATATGGCTGGGGGGAGTGGCCTCATTTATGCTGACATATTCTTCATGTCTCAACCAAGTTTCAGTGAGACAGCATATATCAATATTATAATCTGATATTAAATAATTTACCAATATTGCTTTAGATGCTAGAGATCTTATGTTTAAGAGACCACATTTAATCTTCCTGTTTTGTTGCACTGTAGTAGTTGTTACATTTCCTTTTATTAGGTTATTATGTATGACACCTCTATTATTAGGTTTTACCTTAAATTGTCCTTGGGCAGACACACACACCGTTAATATTGGGTATTTTATTGGGTTCGGAATTCAACTTGAAAGACTACAAATCCCAGAGTCGCGTAAGTGATGTCATAATTGTTTTCCTCTGCTAAATATAAGAGATAGCTAAGATATGATCTTTAACAAGATGCCTGTGTGCTTTGTACCAGGTTGTAATCATATCAGCAATGGGTCTTGCTCGTTCTTTCGCTTCCCGTCTGATGAAAGGACCAGGGGCCTCATTTATAAAGCCTTGCATAGGATTCACGTGGGAAGGTTGCTTAAGTAGGACAAAGCAAATAAATACGCACAGACATTTTCCGATTCATAAAACACTGGCGTAGGACTTGTGTATGGCACGTTCTACGCCGGTTTCCATTTATAAATCACAATTAACTCGAAATGCGGCGCAGCTTTTGCGGGCTTCACGTAACGCCCATATTTGCCATAAATAGTCAAAGAAACGCCCCACATTAATATTCATTTTGACTGACTGCAGGAAGAAGATCGCAGGAAATGACAACAGAACAGCTAAAAAAGGACGTGTGTCATTGCGGTGATAGTGAGGGTAGTCAATCCCTTGTTTGGCAAGACAGTAGTGACGGCCATCTTGTGTTGTTTTGGGAGACCAGAGATGTAGTTCATTGAGCGGTTTCACACAAAAAAGTCTTACTTCAGAGTTTTACGGCAAAAACATTTTTTTTTTACTTAAATTATCTTTTGAATTGACAAACATCATGTGTAATTCGTGGCACAATTCAAACCGGATCGGAAGATAACTTTTCTCTTGCCATTGACTTCAATACATCATTTTTCCAAAATACGGGAGGGACTTCGAGGCGAAGTTCCTCCCTTTCCGGGGGATCTCCTTACAAAGCCCCTCCTCCAACTTACATCTCGTAAGTTTGTGCACGAGAAGGAAGGCTGACAGGCAGGTAGGCCCGGGTCAGATAATTGGACTTGCTTTTTACTGCGCCACGGCTTCCACAGATGAAATATTTGTATATATCTATTGTCAAAGCATTTAATTTACTCATTGCTATCGGGATGTTAAGAGCATTCCATGGAATATAACAAAAAGGGTTTCTGAAGTAAATTACCTACCCTACCTTTAATGGTCAAATTCAGTGATTTATTTTGAGTTTTTTTCCAATTAAGTTCAATTGAAATGTTGTTTACAGTTTAAATATTTTAGGAGAACATGACTGCTGAAAAAGGAAATTTCTTCGGGTTTAAGTAAAAGCTTACTATGTTCAAATGTATCACTAATATCTGATGTGCTTATGGCTCTTTTTTAAATAACATGAATAACATAACACAGTTAAAATGCAATAACATAAAAAAGGAGATTAGATTTTATTTGTCACATGCTTATACCTTTTTAGTATGTGCAGTGAAATGCAAGGATAGCATATTCAGGAGGTTAAAAAAAAGAGGCAATAGTCTTAATAATAATATAAGTAAACATTTTTAAACTTTTAAAAACAAAAAATGATCAATTATGTATTTTGAACACTGCCTCGACTGCATACTTTCATATCTCATATTCTCAGGCCTTAAACATCGAATCATGATTTCATTGGATCTTGGACACACAAACAAAAAAAAACTCCATAGTTCATATTTGTTTGTTTCAAGGTTCTTTTATAGAAACATGACAGAGTTTTTCTGTATTTCTGAACAGTACAATCCACTACTTTCCTCCATAAAGCTAAACATGGGAATTCACTTCTAATTATGATTAATCAACAACATTTTAAACACTCATGATAGGTGGATTTCATATATGTGACATGAAAGCATTGACAGAACGTTAGGTTTGGCACAATAAGCGACTAATATCTACATCAATGTTTGACCTTACACACAGAGCAGACGGCAGAGAACTTCAGCATGTGGACACTTAAGGAATTTTTTGGTAAATAGTTTCTGTTAACTGTTGTATGAGGTCACTTTCAGCTTAATCAAACCGATTCAAATGACAGTTTATTTGTGTCATAGCCTTTTTATTTCTAAATCACGTGTTCTGTCAATTGAAATGAAAGTGACACATTGCGTGTAAAGTTTGTGTGTGGATGTGTGAAGATGCAGGCTGCAGATCAGTAGCTCAGTTACAAGGCAGAAAGCATCACACCTCACAGCCTTACACAGACTACTCTCTGTTGCTCTCTAACAGTAAAACAAAAGCCTCTCGTTGGATGTGTAAAATCCCGCTGCTCCTCCTCCGTGTTATCTGATGGTTGCAGGTTCGGGAAGTCGGCTGTGTTCTGGCCGACATCTAGCATTCGCAGGAACGACCTACAGACAGAACGTTAGGTTTCCAAATTCAGATGATTACGTTAATGCTTGAAAATGTGATCATTAACCCCAAAGACTCGGTTACACAGACTTCTGACGATGTGAATCACACTGTGGTTCAATTACTATTTAAGCCTAATTTCAACTTCAGGAATATCATTACGTTTAGTTTTCTCTTGGCAGAAAACAGATGTTCCGTTGGGGCACTTACATTTTCTCAGTTTGTTTTTCTGATAATATACAGATCTGGAAAAAATTAAGAGACCAGTGCAAAATAATTAATATCTCTGGTTTTATTATTTATAGATATGTGTTTGAGTAAAATTTACATTTCTCCGTGTTGGAAGTCAACAGACACTGGAATGGAATGGCTGCCATACATATTTGCTGCCAAGACATATTTGGAGTGGTCTATATATTTTTTCGAGAGCTGTAAGATCCAGACGTTCAGAAGGCTTTTACCTCGAAGCAGAATTACTCAGAAAAACACTGAATCAAAGCAGTTACAGTACATGTTCAAATGTTGTGTTTCACCAACTCTGTACTGTTAGCAATAACGATTTATCAGCTAGTTTCTCAGATATCAAGTACTACAATTCTTCCTCTGCTTAAATTATTGCAATAATGGATGAAAAGTCCATTTGTGTGTGTGTGTGTGTGTGTGTGTGTGTGTGTGTGTGTGTGTGTGTGTGTGTGTGTGTGTGTGTGTGTGTGTGTGTGTGTGTGTTTTGTGTCAGCAAAGGCCTCCAGGACATACTGCCATGGCAATTTCCACTTGCATAGACAAACACGCACCCTCACTCAAACAGTGTTTTTCCGTATGGGCCACCTGTGCATATCATATACATCACAGCTGTTAAAGTCAAACTGACATTATCAGCATTAAACTGGATTTAGCTTAGCAATGTACAAACTGTAAATTAGCATCTCAAGAGGGCATCTTCCATGACTACCCCACTACATAAAAAAAAGATATGCTGCCTCCATCCACTGTCCTCTCGCTACTTCCCCCACTCCCTTTCTGAATGCTAGACTCCCAGAGTAGCACCACCTGTTAGACAGCGAGCTACATGTCATCTGAGGCCATCACCATGGGAGACTTCCATACTGTGTCAGTCTGCGTGTGAGAAACAGATGGACAGAGTAAATATAACCTTAGAAAATTAACAGGACAACTGGGTAATGAAGTCTTCGGGGGGAGAATAACCTGTTTATTATGCGGCATATAATTACCTACCTTAAATGCAGTATTTCTTTTTTGAAATTGTCTTCACTTATTTTTCTTTATTTCGAGTATTATTTATTTTAAACTAAATATTTTCATGAAACTTCATTTTTAATATTACTATTATTATATCTATATCTCTTTATTATAAACAGGTATTTATACATTTACCTGAAGGTAACATCAAAAAAAATTTCTTCTGTCAAGTGTCTGTGATCACAGGGGATCTTCTCTGTTGACATTTACAGTCAACTATAACTACAAATAACATTTCCTTTGTAGGTTAATATATATTTTTCTGGCAGCTGAACAAACAATACCTTGGTCGGAAAGCATCTGCTGAGCATTGCTTCCTGTCCTCGCTCTGCAAAGAGAAAAAAGGAGAGCGTAAGAGACGAAGAACAAGATACTTCAATCCTCTTTGAAACTTTGTTATATCTGTTTTTTACAATATTATAATACATTTAAATGGTTCTTTGTTGAGAGTTTCCACTCTGGCTAGAGGAACACATTTCATGGAATTTAACATAAACAGATGAGTAAACAATATTATATCAATCTAATGCTAAAATGCCTATTCAAATGTGTATTTTTTTAAATATGTGTTGGTTGATGTCAACGGACATGATGAAGGCCTACCGACAAGTGCAAACAAAGTTTTTTTTTACACATTTGATGAACAATCAAGTTTTCTAAATCTTGCTGGCAGAAATGGCAGAAACCAGCCACTTCCATAAAAAAAAAAAACATTTGTGGAATGTTTCTGGATTTTTGTAAACAAAAAGAAATACACCAAACAAAGATGTAGTAATCTTCAGAATATACTGGTCCAAATAAAACATCCCTATACAAGGAGCTAACTATTGCCTTTTGTCATTCTAAATATTCATTGGTGAGTTTGTAATGCCCTCTAGTGGACACAACTATAACTACAGGCTTGTCTATAAAAAAAAAATGGTTGAAGAAATACATTCCTATGGGATTGTAAAGTAAGGTTGATATCCCTATTTTCCACAATAATTAAACAAGTATTTAATGTTTTGAAGGATCACCTCTTGTCCTGGTTGAACTTGCACCTGCAGTGGCCACCTGAAACAAGAGACAAGAAGAGTGGACTTTCTTCAGATCTGTGTATCTGTGCAGTGTTTGTGTTGATTAATGACTGTAAGGGTGAAATGTGGTGTGTGCATAATTTGGATCTTACTGAACAGGATAGTGATGCCAATGAGACAGAGGACAGCAGCAAGAATCAGGCCTCCGACTCGCAGTTGGTGGTAGTCTGCACACACAGAGGAGACATGGTAAACATTTGAAAAAACCCTTAACCCTCAACACATTCTAAACGAGAGTGAAAATAATACGTTGGAAAATAATAACTTACCAAAGTTAAATGGGTCTTCTTCCACTGCAGAAACAGAAATGAATATGTTCAGTTAGTTTGAGCAGCAGAAAAACAAGCTTTCACAATTACAGCCCAACAGTTACAGATAGAGTAAACAGAAACAGAGAGATTACCAAACACAGTGGCTTAGTTTGACAAATCAATACATTACAACCGAAAAGTGCCGTTCCAAGCATATAAAAATGTAACTAAATAAAAAAGATTTATTGTCCTCTTATATTATTACTTTTACAAATAACAATAGACATCCCTTTTTTAATGGAACCAATTTTTGGTATTACTCAAATATTAACTGTTGAGGGATTATTACTTACTTTTTTGTTCTTCTGCGAACCCCAGTGACACAACTGTAAGAGTTCAGAAAGAGACAAGGTTTATAAAGTGAAGCACACCTTTAGCATCTCATTTGGTTTTTGAAAAAGACAAAAAAAACTCAATCCCATTGCTGTGGATATATTTTAAAATAAAAATGTGTCGTTAACAATGTAATTATACTCAGAATTGTTTCAGTCATGTTGGTTTCACACACTTAATGTTAATATAAACATGTCAGTATTGTGAAGAATGACAGGCACATGGATGTTATCTGGAATAATGTATTATCTAATAAGTGAAACACCTTTAAAATCCTGCTGCGTTTATTGGAAATCCAGATCTGTTTAAATATGATAGATAAAACCCTGCCTGTTTAATCTCTCGTTGCTTATCCATCCCATGTTTTATCTTTTCCAACCCCTTTAGGATCTGTTGATGTTATCCCCCTCACCTTTTCAGGACTGTTAATGCAGGAGTCTTTATTTCAGCCCTCACTAAGTTTGGGATTAACTTTCTGACAGTATATTTCTAAAGGATACATAATCAGATCAGACGTTTAGACTGCCTTTTGTCTCATATTGTCGCAAAAGTAGCGTGCTGATGGAAGACAGACCTGCGGGTAGAATTTCCTCTGCAAAGAGGAAGTGGGGAAAACAAATCACGGGTTCTCTTATTGACTAAAACTGATTCATGCACTGATTTTGAAATGGATTTACTTACTGACTTTTTAAGAAGTGGATGTTGCTGTATAAAGGACATCATATAATGAAGAAAGATTTCTTAAAAATACTGTGATTAAATTATACTCACGTGTCATTAACACCAAAGCACAGATCTTTGCCATCTTCACGCTTGAGTCTGTTTACCTGCAGGAATAAATACACACTGATATCAACACAAATAATAACCAGTATGTTAGTTTATGTGTAACCCCTCAGTGATGAAGATATTAAAACTTGTACTAACAAAGTACGTGCCTTTACTTTAGTCCTATTTTTGCACACCCATGTAAAGCCTTCACCACTACAGTCACTGCGGTGCATTGATGGCCCATTAGAACAAGGCTGAGCTCTATCATTAGCTCCAGTCCCAATGGCAGAGATAATCACATTTTAAATGTGTGTGCATGTTGGTAAGCTGTCCTCCAAACTGGATAGCACCAGCCCACAGAGTCAACAGAGAGCTGGTGCAACATATCTGTGTTTTCTGAGGGGCTCCAACAGGACTTAAACACGCAGACACTCTTGCAGAACATGCATCCCCTCCCTCTGAAGCACACAAAGGAATCAGATCCATTCAGATACAAAGTGGTCTCCGACTCTTTCACACTCACACAGAAACTGGATCTGATGTTGATGGGTACAAAGTGCTCTAATGGAGACTTATTAGGAGAACTAAACCCCTCTGCATAATGCATTACACTGATGCCATGTGAAAGCTCTAGAACTTCGATCATATTTGTTTTGTTGTTTTTCAATTCATTGTATATAGCACATATAATGTACAGTACTATAGGTGCATTTGGTCCCTTGCTGCGGCAACTGTCCAGTTTTTTAAAATAGCTTTCACTTGCTGACAAGAAAATCCATGGAAACAATGTTAGTGTGCACTCATCCTTCTAAAGCTATTCCTGCCTGTAATGGCGTTTTAATGTCATTACAAGTGTATATTGGTCCATAGATGGTTAGCTTTGAGATGCTTTTTGAAGTACCATGAGTCAATAAAGATGTTCTTATTTTTTGGAATCCCGAATAATTGATCAAATCTGACTTAATACTCTCTCATTTTGAGTATTGTCCTGACAGTGAGGCGGAATTTACAATCATGCCACCTACATTATCATTAACACATAAGCACATTTACTGAGAGCTGCAGTTACATCCCGAGCTCTGTCTGAGTGTCTCCGATGGGTCAACACTGCATTAGCTGCCATGTTCAATCAGCACAGGAAACATGTGCACTGGGAGCGGACACACCTTAAGTAACACAACTGTGAATTTCCACTTACTGCACTTTTCTTTTCAGAGCACTCAGGGAAGAAAAAACACACATGCCCATTTCAAACTGGCATTCAGGTGAGTGAAGCCCAAAAATGCAAGCATAAATAATCATCATTTGGTTAACATTCGGGGTCAAACTGGCTGTTTATCTGATCTGCCCTGAGGCTTTATGGGAGCATCTAGTCAAATGAGTTTGCCTCGTGCGCTGCTCTGAATTCCTGTTAAAGCTATAGCTTATCCTTTACAGCTGTCCTCTCAGTTCGCTCAAATACCTTCAGAGTAAACAGTTAGTTTTAATCTTAAGCTTTCTATTTGACAAAGGGTGTTATTAATTGGAGAGAAAGCACAAGAGAACATAGTGTTTTAAAAACTGAATTAATCCTAACTGAAATCGTTTCGGGATGAAAAAACCTGAAAGATGTTATAGTAAAGATTGTTCTCCTTTAAGATCTGTGTTAAGATCTGTACGAACATTGATTAAAAGTGAACTTTGAGAAGACAATGTCTGCCTACTGTTGGTACGTGGAGTTTGTTAGGAAGAGAGAAATAAAGGGCAGGATCATGAGTGCACCTCTCCAGAGCAACCCAAGGCCAGGCCAGGGGAATGTAGAGGATGGGAAACAGGCCAAGAGCCACCAGAGAATGGTTGACCTCAGGAGAAAGCCACACAGGGAGCAGAGAGGGAAGACACGGGCGGCAACGTAGGGATAAGAGTTTCAGACAATTATAAAGGGGGGAGAAAAAAAGAAAAAAATGAAAGAGACGGAATAAGGTGAGGAACATAAAGCAGGGGAGTGAAGAATAGTTGGCGCCTCCCTGGCCCTGTTTGAAGATTATATTCTAAAGTAAATGTTAGTGTAAGGCGGAGCCAGGTGGGGAGGCTGGGGATTCAAATCCTTGTATGGCTGGTTCAAAGAAAAGAGCAACCTGCTGGTGGATAGGTACATTGGATATTTAACATCCCTTGGAAGCTGAGTGCTTCTACAACACAACATTACAATATCAAATGTCATTGGTTAAGGCCTGCAGTCAGTGTTGATGTATCTGCAGTTTGTTTTTATGATTAGCAGACAACTTGCTTTAACTGTAAACATTTGAAAACAAAAGCAAATATGGAGATCACAATTCCCCAGAGCACATGGTCAACCATTCACATTGCTTGTTTTGTCCAACAAAAAGCCTAAAACCTGAAGATGTTCAGTATTCTAACATATAAGACAAAGACATGCAGTAAACCCCCACTCTGGAGAGGCGCGGACCAGCAGATTGGGGCCCCTTTCTAAGGGTGTAGAAAGCTGCTATGGATCAAAACAGTTGTAGAAACATTTTTCCAATAACCTGTAAATTGTTTCAGATTTGATTTAGTTATAGTTTCACGCTACATACAACTTAAAAAAACTAACAACAATCATATTCAGCAAATGTTTGATACCAAAAAAGGCAAACACAGCTCAATACCTTGAAGATGAAGACATCATGTGTAAAGTATTTTCTTTCCCCCTGCCTACTAATGCCCTGCGGAGCCACATCTCTCTGCCTGGTTCCAGCTAATAAAGAGTTTTCTGTTCTGGTCATGCTACTCTGCCTGTTTTGTTTTCAGCTGCATCTCTTTTTCCCCCTGTCTTTAGGAATGTCTCATTGTTTACTATCACTAGCCTGCTCCTTTCATCCATTATACTGCGGGACACTCCTTTCACTTGTGTGAAAAGCATTGCCTGTTTTTATCAAATCACTGTTTCACACTGCTCTGCTGCCTGTTGAGCTGCTGTCTCGTCTCCATTCCTCTTTAAACCTCTCCCGACTCACCTCTGTGTGTCATTGCTCCTTTACCCCTCTCCTCTTTGTTATTTTTTCCCCACTAATGTTTCCCTTGCTAACTAAGTCCCCGGAGTACAAGCTTTCCAGGCTCTATGCCCGTCTCCAACACTATCGTCTTCTCTTTTCCATCCCACTCTTCTCTTTCTCTCTTATCCCACAGTGACGTTACACAATAAGCTGCAAGGTCGCCAAAATAGTCCAAACTCCGGAATGTGGCCAGCATCCTCCACTCAGTCAGTATCCCACGCACTACTTTTACTTGTTGTGATCTCCAGTGTTAATCTTTTCAACTTCATTGTAGTGAAGTGGAGGCCTAAATATTTGAGACACATTCTAGTTCAAAATCTGATCAAATAAGATGAATACTATCTGCCGGGGTAGACTGTCCTAATTTCTTAAGTCCAGCAGCAGGGCAACACAATTGAGAGTGCTCACTACAATGAAATATGTAGGTTTGACATAAAAAAGTCCAATAGACAAAAGCAACAAAAACACACACAAAGGGACCCAGTGCACACACACAGAGAAAGGCTGCCAGTTGGCTTTGTGTTTGCGACATGTGTTCACTCCTTGTAACTTAGTTATGTGACAACACACATAGAAACCACTATGTGGACATACACAAAAACACACACAGTCAAGTCTTTGGTTAACTAACATTTATAGTCATATCAAAATAAATATGTAGCGAAGCGTTCTACTACAGCATCCATTCTTAAAACGACTTATCCTAATCAGGGTCACGGGGCAAATGTATTAGGACTATGTAACACGTGAACATACACTATTCGTCATGTCTACAAAAGATTAACCCTTTTTACAAACATATATTGCTTTTTCTATTCTGTAATCAAAAGTACGAAATGTTGTATGCATAGCATCAATGCGTTACTGTCCTCTTTTTCCAAAACTCCCCCCATCCAACAATTTGAATACTGAACACTGGTGTGTGTGTGTGTGTTTGTGAGCGTGTGTGCCTGTGCTGCACTACAAAGACAGCTGCCTATTCTCAGTGGTATTTTTTATTCCTAAATTAGCAGCACTAAATTCCAGAGTGCATCACACACGCACATGTTGTGAACTAAACACAATGTGAACCTACTTTGCCATCTGTGAGAAAGAACCAGCTTTTATTTAGACACTGTTTGACTTCAACTTGTTCGGCCCTTCACTTTACCAATACACTATACAATTAATCTACTTTGGACTTAAGTTAATAATGTTTCTCTGTAATTGAATGTCTGGAAATATGGTTGATAAAGCCAATGACTTCAGAGGTTTTTTTTATTTTTTTAAATGAATAAAATGTTACTTTTCGTATTTAAACGTATGTTTTCTCTCTTCTAGATGATTACAGATCTTTTTAGAGGTTTAGTTGTTTGGATTTTGGTTTGTTTTGTCAGTTAATCTACTACTGGCCTGATTTTGAGTAAACTTGACCAAAAGGTGTAGCACGTGGCAAGGAAAAAGCCTTTACATTTTGGACGGGTTACAACTTACCAGTTGGTAAGCAATTTTGTTTTTGCATGTGTTAACATTGCGAGATAAGGGCATTTCTGCTGCATTAATGTGCTGTCAACATAATCTGGAAATACAAAGCTTTCTGCCATCATTATTCCACATTACAACATAAAGCTCATGGTGAAGAACGACTTCCTCACTTGGGAAATGGGAACATCCGAGATGCAATTGAATGCACCAGCAAAGGTCTGCACTCTACCGGTGTCATTATAGTTATAATATGTAATAGGAAAGTATGCAAGAGAGATAGAAAGGAAGGGACAGATGGTGTTGGGGATTCAGTTGAAGCAGTTTACTGATGGAGAGAGAAATAACACAAACAAAAAATGAAGTTGGTAAAAGAGAGTGAGCAAGAGAGGGAGACAGGGAGGAAGAGGGATCAAAGCCTGGGGGAATGAGAGAGGGAGGCAGCAGGACGAGGGAAAGTGCAGTTGGGGAAGAGGAGGAAGAGGAGGAGCAGGAACAGACAAATAGAAGGTAAGAGGGAGGGGGTCATACTGGAGCCATGAGTCACACATGGTAACCACAAGGTTCCCAGTGAGCAGATAGCAACAACAGACTGCAGT